AATACTATAGCACAATCTTTGATAAGCTAGAATTATGCTGAGTACTTGAGTTCCATAGGTTGACTAAGGTGTACGAAGTCAATTCCCTATCTAAGGCCACATGAAGTTCGGGTTAAGATTGAGCCTACCACACATGCACCAAGCATCATTTTGTGTCTAAGGCACTCTAAGGGCAAACAAGTGCCCTTAGAGGGATAGAAGAGTGGTGCAAGGGTTAAGTACCTATGTTGCACCAAGTGGGAACATTTGGCGATAGTGTCAAGGCAACAACCCCTATCAAGGGCCAACATGGCCAATGGTGGTTAACACATGGGCCGAGACTAAGGGCCAACATGTCTTGATGGTGGTTGAGGCATTTGCATGCACTGAGGGTCATTGAGTGCCAATGGTGGTCAAGGAATGTGCATGTGTCATGGTTTGCAAGTTGGTCTAAGCTTAAGGGTTCTCTCCAGGTCAAAAAGCAGTTCCAGTTCTAGTGGGATAGGGTTTGACAGCCAGGGGGACTAGGCCTTGTGGCATACTAAAAGCCCATATCACTAGGAACTAGCCCCAAATAGTGGTACAAGGATTGATCAAGACTCCAGAGGCTTAGGCATGATGTTCAGGTATAGGAAAATTTAGCCAGGCCCAAGCATGAGCACTAGTGAGTGCTTATATGAATTTACAAAATAAAAAATGGCATTGGCTTCGTAGAAATATGAAGATGTACCTGAACCCACATATTGATCGATCATGGTGCACATGGTGTGCTACTTGAGCTGAGGATACCTACGTGTACTGTGTAACCTAGTATGTACTGCTAGTGTTTAAGGGAACTACTTGCATAAAGGGTCAACATGTGCCAATGGTGGTTGAAGCATGTGCCAAGATCAAAGGCCAACATGTCCTGATGGTGGTCAAGGCATGTGTATGTGTCACAGTCTGTAAACTGGTCTAGGCGTAGGGATTTTCTCTAAGTCGAGAAGTAGTTCCAATTTTGGTGGGATAGGGTCTGACAGTCGAAGGGACTAGGCCTTGAGGCCTACTAAAGGCCTAGGTGATGAGGAATTAACCTAGAACAAAGGAATAGGTTGGGATCACGACTCCAAAAGCTTAGGCACAGTATTCATGTTTGATAAAATTGAGCCAAGCCCAGGTGCGGGCACTAGTGAGTGCTTATATAAGTTTACAATCAATAAAAATAGCATTGGCATGGTAAAAATATGAAGATGTGCCTAAACCACCTGTTGCACGACCATGGTATTTATGGTGCACAGCCTAGGCTTACGATACCCATGCGTGGTGCATGACCCAGCATGTGCTGATGGTGTTCGAGGGACTACCTACATAATGAGTCAGCATGTCTCGATGGTGATCGAAGCATATGCTAAGACCAAAGGCTAACATGTCCTGATGGTAGTCGAGGCATGTGCATGTGTCACAATCCATAAGCTGGTCCAAGCCTAGAGGTTCCTTTCAAGCTGAGGAGTAGCTCTAGTTCTAGTGGGATAGGGTCCAATAGCTAGGGAGACAAGGCCTTAAGGCCTAAATCACGAGGAGCTAGCCCAGAATAATGGTATGGGTAGTGATCAAGACTCTAAAGACTCGAGCATAGTGTTCATGTTTGGTCAAATTAAACCACTCCCAGATGCAGGCATCAATAAGTGCTTATATGAATTTACAAGCCATAAAAATGGCATTAGCATGCCAAAAATATGAAGATGTGCATAAACCTACCTATTGCTCAGTTGTGGTATGCATGGTGCATGGCTCAGGCCTAGGATACCTACGTGTGGTGCATAACCCTGCATGTGCTGATAGTGGTCAAAGCATGTGCCAAGACCGAGGGTGAACATGCCCTAATAGTGGTCGAGGCATGCACATGTGTCATAGTCCATAAGCTGGTCTAGCCTAAAGGTTCTCTCCAAGTCGAGTAGTTTTAGTTTTAGTGGGATAAGGTCTGATAGCCAGAGGACCAAGTCTTGAGGCCTACAAGAGGTGCAGGTTACGGGGAACTAGCCTAAAATAGTGGTATGGGTAGTGATTAAGACTCTAGAAGCTCATACACGGTGTTCTTATTTGGTAGAATTAAGCGAAGCCTAGGTGTGGGCATTAGTGAGTGTCGATATGAATTTACGAGCCATAAAAATGGCATTGGCATGGTAGAAATATAAATATGTGCCTGAACCCACCTATCACCTAGTCATGGTGCACATAGTGCATGGTCTAGGCCTAAGACACTAGCATATGGTGCACATGGTCGAAACATATACCGAGACCAAGGGTCAACATGTCCTAATATTGGTCGAGCCATGTACATGTGTCACAGTTCGCAAGCTAGTCCAGGCCAAAGGGTTTTCTCCAAGTCAAGGAGAAGTTTCAGTTCTAGTGACGTAGGGTCCAATAGCCAGAGGGACCAGGCCTTAAAGACAACTAGAGGCCCAAGACATAAGGAACTAACCTAGAACAATCGTATGGGTAGTGATCAAGACTTCAGAGGCTCAAGCATGGTGTTCATGTTTAGCAAAATTGAGCCAGGCCCAAGTGCGAAAGTTGGTGAGAGCTTATATGAATTTACAAGCAATAACAATGACATTGGCATAACAAAAATATGAAGATGCTCCTAAACCCACCTACTACCTGATCGTGGTGCACTTGCTGCATGGCCCGAGCCCAAGATACCTACATGTGATGTATGATGCAGCATGTGTTATTGGTGCTCAAGAACATTTTCCACACAAAAGGCTAGCATGTGCCAATGGTGGTCAAAGCATATATCGAAACCAAGGGCCAACTTGTCTAATGGTGGTTGAGTTATGTGCATGTGTCATGGTTTGCAAGGTAGTCTAGGCCCAAGAGTTCTCTTTGAGTAGAGGAACAGTCCCTATTCTTATGAGATAGGGTCTAATAGCCATGGGGACCAGGCCTTGAGGCTTAATGAGGCCCAAGTCACAAGGAACTAGCACAAAACAATGGTATGGGTAGTGTTCAAGACTCTAGAGGCTTAGGCATAGTGTTCATGTTTGGCAAAATTGAGCTAGGCCTAAGTGTGGTTGCTAATGAGTGCTTATGTGAATTTATAAGCCATAAAAATGGCATTGGCATAGTAGAAATATAAAGATGTGCTTGAACCCACCTATTGCTTGATCGTGGTACGAAAGGTGCATGGCTTGGGTCTAGGATACTCGTGCGTGGTGCGTAGCCCAACATGTGTTGATGGTGGTAAAAACATGTGCCGAGACCAATGGCTAACACGTCCCAATGATGGTTGAGGTATGTGCATGTGTCACAGTCTGCAAGCTGGTCCAGGCCTAAGGATTTTTCTAAGTCATGGAGCAATTCTAGTTCTAGCGGGATAGGTTTCAACAATTAAAGGGACCAAGCCTTAAGGTCTATAGGAGGAACAAGTCATAGGGAAACCAACCCAAAACAGTGGTGTGGGTAGTGATCAAGACTCTGGAGGCTCAAGCATGGTGTTCATGTTTAGTAAAACTGAGCTTGGCCTTGGTGTGGCCATTGGTGAGTGCTTATATGAATTTACAAGCCATAAAATTACCATGAGGATAGTAGAAATTTGAAGATGTGCTTGACCCTACCTATCGCCTGGTAGTGGTGCGCATGGTGCATGGCCTGGGCATAGGATACCGTTGCATAGTGCATGGCCTAGCATGTTGCAATGGTGTTTAAAGGAACTACCTGCACAAAGGGCCAACATTTGTCGATGATGGTTGAAGCATGCACTAAGACCAAGGGCAAACTTGTCTCGATAATGGTTGAGTTATGTGCATGTGTCATAATCTACAAGCTAGCCCTAGCCCAAGGGTCCTCTCCAAGTCAAGGAGCAGTTTGAGTTCTAACGAGATAAGGTACAACAATCAGGGGGACTAAGCCTTAAGGCCTATAGGAGGCCTAGGTCACGAGGAAGTAGCATAGAACAGTGGTATGACCAGTGATCAAGACTCCAAAGGCTCATACACAGTGTTTAAATTTGGTAAAATTAAGCCATGCCCAAGTGCGAGCATTGATGAGCAATGCATAGGCACATAGTCAAAACTAGGTACGGGCATTGATGATCGAGGTGTGAGTGCATGGTCAGGCCTAGGTGGGAGTTCATGGTCATTCCTAGGTCCACTTGAACACTATCCTAGAAGGATCATATTTAGGGGCTTTTAGAAGGCCTAACACAGCAACACAATCTTTGACAAGCTAGAATTATGCTAAGTACTTGAGTTTTGTAGGCTAACTTAGGTAGATGGGGTCAATTTGCATGAAGTTTGGCTTAAGATTGGAGCCTATAACCCATGCACTGAGCATCATTTAGTGTCAATGCTAATTAAAGGGTAGACAAGTGCCTTGGATGGAAAGTTCATGGTACACATGCTACACCAAGTGTCAGTATTTACCAAAGAGGTGTTTGAGGCAACAACCCATAATAAGGGCCCACTTATATCAATGATGGTCAAGGCAAGTGCCAGCATCTGGCTTTGGTGTCTAAGGTAACATCTCACACTAAGGGGCCAGCATCTGCAGATGGTGTTGGATGCGATTGCCTGCACCAACCAAGGGCCAAATGCTATCGATAGTGCTCGATGCAACAACCTAGATTGGGGCTAGCATGTGCCGATGGAGTTCGAGGCAAGTGCCTACACCAAAAGTGAGCCTATCACTGTAACAAATACCAAGAGCATTCAATTGTTGTTTACTTGTATGCTTAAGAAAGGGACATCATCATCCGACTAAATCAATTGCAATGGAGAACACCATTCATCCCCAACCCTAGTGAAGTATGGTGAAAAAAAAAATAAAGTGAGAGGACTTCAGTGGCTATGGTGGGGGGAGGGGTGAATCAAAGCAACAAAAGGTTGAATCTTAGTGGATCATGGAAACAAGGCCACTCTGCCACTTACAATACCCTATCATGTATTTAAGTCATCTGCAAAGGATTTTTCCCACCACTCGATGGGAATTGAGCTCCAAGGAGGCCAGTATGGCTTGTTTGCTATGGGTGTTACACCTATGACATGTGGCCTTCAAGGCATAGGCCCTTACTACTAATCCACAGTTGGGCGATAGATGCATGTGTCCCTTCTAACCTAGATTCTAATGTAAAGGCATTCGGTCATAATCAAGCGCATGGTAGCTTCATGCCACTAGCTTTTCAACCAAGTGGGATAACCAAATGCACAAATCAATGATTCATCTCATATTAGGTTGAATTATTATTGTGATGCTGCCATTATAGTAAAACTAACCTATCTCATGACGATGTAAACCTAGCTCTCATTTCTTATTGAGGGGTGAACAATCCAACACTTGGTGAATTTTGCTTCACAATGATAGGAAGAGCCAACATTGAAGGATTAAAAAGCAACATCACTATGAACACTTGTCTACCATAAACCAGTTATCTTTCTGTTAACTTTTCTGACATCTCTAGCTTCAAATTCTAAAGGTCTACAGGATTAATAGGCCATGCTTTCATAGTTTATTCGTATCAAAAATCAAAATCAAATGAGCTTTTATCGTTTGTTCCATATAAGATTTCTATTCTCGTTGAGCTCATCTTAGGACACCTACATTATCTTTTAACAGATGTGCTACCCCAGCCAATCTCCCCACCTGACAATGTCTTTTACCCTAATCGATTGAACAAGGTTGGCCTTAGGCCAAGTAGAAGGGGTTCTGCCTTGCCTTCCGATTCATGGAATAAGTAAAATAATGTTAAAAGTTTTGATATTTCAATTTTGACTTAGGGCTTCCACTTATCCTACACCTCTCAATTCATTCCAAAGGTTGGACTAGAGTCAAGCTGAATAAGGTCTTCTTTCCCTGCTGATTTTGCCAAGCCCATTCCTTTGATTGTGGTTTCATTGGATAGTGGATAGGGACAATGGGAATTGTGTTAATCCATTCATGTGCTCACTAATTAGATGATGAGGCATTTGGGTACCATAAGAGAGTCATAGTTAGTCCTGTCATTTACCCTCACTTGGTTGTGTTTTCACTTTGACATTTAGAGCACTGGGCATAAATCACATTGCATGAGTATTCGTAGGGACCATTGTAATGCTTTGTTTTAATTAAATAGTTAGATTCCCCTTATTTGTATCAATTTTGAGTCGACTATTCATTGCTCGGGGAAAGCTCTCAAGGAAGCCTTTCCAAGTCCATCCTTGATTGGCACATAACGACCCACTATTGCCATGAGACTAGCTTGAGTAGTGCATCGATAGCTGATGAGTTTAGGATTAGGACCCTGTGCCTGGCCCTCAAAGCCAATCCTTTTCTTGAGGCTATGGATCCATTTTGTCGACTTCCCTTACCTACATTGTTCCATTGACTAGAGGTTGTTCTCCTTGGAGAGTGATGCGATTATGAATATGACCGAGCATGGAGAGCACTCGGTCCTTTAGATTTTCAAGGGTCACTGAAGGCACACCAAACACCATGTGACGTGTGATGCTCTTTCAATTGCTAGATCCTACCACTAGCTAAGCCATTTCTAGGGTGGGCAGGCCATAAATAGAAAAGATAACTCTTCCTAAGGTCCTCTCCAACACTTCTAGACTACCTAATATTGCCATCAGCCTACGCATCCTAGTTCAGGAATTTTAACTCGATTCCCTTTTAAAGCTCACATTGGACACACTATCGAATGGCCTTCCCCCATCTCTTAGGATTAACAAACCCATGTGCAAGTGCAATTCACATAGAACCTTTCCCCTTTTTAGCATTCAATGTTCTCATTTGAATATTTGCTACTACCATCAAGATCAACACCGAGGCTACTCTATGGGGTCATGCCCTAAGTTTTATAGTGACCACCATGCCCTTCTACTCATTGGGACCTGGCCTTTGCCCTTGCGCTGATAGTTGTGTATAGGTCGCATGTTTAAATGCCATCCATTTTTTAGGCTAGTTGATTCGATAGGTAAGTTGTTACACACTCAGTAGATTTCAACTTTCATGACCCCTATCCTACTATCTTAATCAACTAACACCCTTTATGGGTTCTAGGTTAGCACACAGTTAGGCACCATAACTCAGTTTCCAGTTCATCCCTTATTGCTAATTTTGCTTACCAAAAATGGCCCATTTAGATCTCTCGATTTTGTAGCACGACTCAATGAAGTAGCTACACCATCCTACCTATTTAAAGTTTAAGAGTAGGTTGAGGGCATTGCACACTTGATGCCTCTAATCATTGGCTTTATCCGATAGAACTTGCTAAGGGCTCCTGCTATCTTGAGGGAAACTTCAAAGGGAACTAGCTACTAGATGGTTTGATTAGTCTTTCACCCCTAAACCTAAGTCAGAGGAATGATTTGCACGTTAATATCACTGTAGGCCTCCATCAGAGTTTTCTCTAGCTTTACCCTACTCAAGCATAATTCACCATCCTTTCGGTCCCTAACAGGCATGCTTACATTCGAACCCTTTTTAGAAGATCAAGGTCAGTCAGTGGTGCACCCATGAGGGATCTCACCAATTAGCTTCCTTGCACCTTATGGTTTTCTAGCTTATTGATTTGTACACATGTTAGACTCTTTAGTTCATGTTTCAAGATAGGTCAGATGGGGAGCCTACAAGCCAATGTCGGGAGCATGCGAGTGCCAAGGCACACTGAGATTACTTGTGTTGCATTCCAAAATTACAAAAATGACATCTCTATAGGCATATCCAAAGCCCAAGCTTAGGCCGCCACCATGACCCGCATCGGTCTATGAGATCGGCTCTCGCCATTCCATGTCTGACCAAGGTGTATAGCCAACCCCCATTTACTTCCCTCATAACAATTTCAAGCACTATTTGAATCTCTTTTCAAAGACCTTTTCATCTTTCCCTTGTGGTACTTTTTTGCTATTGGTCACTCACTTGCATTTAACCTTGGATAGAATTTACTACTCGATTTGGGTTGCATTCCCAAACAACCTGACTCATAGACTACACCTTATTATGGGACAAGGTCTAGGCATAATAGGGCTCTTACCTTTTTTGGTGCCTTTTTCTAGGGGACCTAGGCCTGGTCCGCCATTAAAGATGCTTCTTTAGACTATAATTCGGATGCTAGGGGTGCCCGATTCTCAAACTAAGCTCTTCTTAGTTTGCTTGCCATTACTAGGGGAATCCTAGTAAGTTTCTTTTCCATCACTTATTGATTTGCTTAACCTCAGCGGGTAATCTCACCTAACCTGGGATGGTGATGCAAGCATTGATCGACTGATGCAAGGGGCCTGATGGTGTCTAGATAGACAATGAGTGCATGTCACAGGAGATGAGGCACATTAAGAGCTTTACCATTGATGGTTGGTGCTATCATTGCCAAGGACTCACTTTTGGGCCAACCATGATCAACGAGATCATAGAAGGCCATCTTTTACCCCTTCACCAAAAGCCCAACGGGTAATGGGGTGGAAGGGCGACAACGCATGGCACCCAGGTAGATGTGCCCTTGGCCTAATGGAATGGGAAACAACTTGCATTCAAAGTTCAATGATTCATGGGATTCTACAATTCACACCAAGTATCGCATTTTACTACATTCTTCATTAATGAGAGAGTTAAGATATCTATTGCAAATAGTCATTTTGGTTTTTCATGATAGAAAGAGTCATGGTGTCGCCCTCACACACATCGTAAATGGGATGGCAATGGCACAGATGCTCCTTTTCATTAGGGTTCCTTAGTGTGATTCATGTCAAGGGTTCATTATTCAGCCAAAGGCAATGATACCAATCATGTCACCCACTTAGAAGGCAAAATGAATCAATCGCTGTACATACACGAGGCTGAAAGGGGCTTAAGGCATAAAGGCACCCTCATCCCTAGGTGTTTCATTAATGTGTTTGCGGGTCATTCATTAAGTAGGTTTCGACAATGATCTTTTATAGTTTCACCTATGAAAACCTTGTTGCAACTTCTTTTTCCTCTAAATGATAAGGTTCAATGGACTTCTTACAACATCTCTGGCAATGAACCATCCACATCACCATGATCCAAACACTTCATCGGACTATTCAATCAGTAAGAGCGATAGGTGATGTGTACAAAGGGCAAGGACATAGTCAATATGAGCTGGAGACTCACATTTACTAGGAATTCCTCATTGAAGACTAATAATTACAATGATCTATCCCCATCATGATTAAATTTCAAAGATTACCCGAGCCTATTAGCCAAGGCTATAGACTTGTTCAATACATTAGTGTTGTGTATGAGCAGCCTAGAACATCTATGGGTGTCATAGACCTATTATTCCCTCAAACTTCTTTGGCCTAAATGGCCATAGTCCCTCTAAGAAGCTAACCATGAAGAATCACCTCCATGTAGCTAGTTAGTAGGTTAAGATCTTATTCATTAATAGAATTAACTAGACAAATCACTCCAGAAACTAAGAATGGCCATGCACCACCACCCATAAAATTAAGAAAAAGCTCACAATCTATCAATCCTTACTATGTGTTGATCGAGTAAGTTTCCTCGCGTTGGGTGAAATTAAGCTATAGGCTCCACTCCTGGTGGTGCCCTTCTATTAATTCCTTTAAGTTTTAGCCCTACGACCATATTCCCCTTGAAACCCAAAGACTTTGCTTTCTCATAAGGTACCAACAGAGTCCTAAAAGTAACATCCATTGATCCTTAGTCAACATCATTTATAGTAGAGACTAGGACAGTATCTGATCATGTTCTAGCCCTTAACTTTCATTCTTGATTAATTAAAATATCCTTGGTAAATGCTTTTGTAGTTATTCGTCTCTTATAAATCCAAGAATTTCACCTTTGACTATGAAATACAAATCCCCCCGATTGTCTCTATTAATCATTACTCTAATCTCAAAGGCCAACGCAATAGGACCAAAACCTATGATGTTATCCCATGCTAATGCATACAAGCAAGGGCCTACTTTAAGCACTTTAATTTCTTCAAAGTAATAGTGTCGGAGGAATAACCCAGCCAGTTAAGGCCAAAGGCACATTGCCAATAGTAGGGACAAGTAAATCGATGCTTATTGTGAAACACACCAAAAGACTTAACCTTAGCTCTAACTATGAGCTTTTTAATTTCAACAACTTAAATTTGTGCTATTGGAGCTAGAATTACTATGGCTACTGGCACCAGACTTGCCCTCCAATGGATATTCGTTAAGGGATTTAGATTGTACTCATTCTAGTTGTTAGACTCATAAAGCTCACTATTGTTATTTATTGTCACTAACTCCCTGTGTCAAGATTGGGTAATTTTTGCTCCTACTGCCTTCCTTAGATGTGGTAGCTATTTCTCAAGCTCTCTCTCCAGAATCGAACCCTAACTTTCCATCACCCATCACCACCATAGTAGGCCACTATCCTAGCATCGAAACTTCATAGGGAAAAACTTTGAATGATGCGTTGCTAGCACAGCACAAAGGCCATGCAATCCATCAAGTTATCATGAATCATTAAAACAACGAGCAAAGCTCGCATCGACCTTTTATCTAATAAATGCATCCCTTTTAGAAGTTGGGGTTTCTGTACGTATTAGCTTTAGTATTACTATGGTTATCCAAGTAGTAGATACCATCAAATAAACTATAACTAATTTAATAAGCCATTCACAGTTTCACAATTTGAATTAGTTTATAACACCACATAGGCCTCAACACACCAACTAAGCAATGGAGAGAGCCAATATGGAGCACAAACATCTTGCATGTCAAGCACATAAAATGCATAGCATTAGATGAACAAGGTCAAGAGCCCATGCCCATAAAATGTTCCACATCTAAGAGCACTATCAAACACCAGTGTACCAATGTAGCCATGGAGGTTGGGTGGCATAATTACGTTCACGAGATAATGAGTTTTGGACTCTAGCCCTAAAGACATATGATTGATAAGGATGCAAGACATCCTATTTCCATTGATTTTCGGTATACGGACATAAGATCTTAATTGCACCCCCGAAGGTTATGATGACATACTATGGGTAGATTAAATGATGGATGGGTCGAATTACTTTGAATGCATCAAGCTTGGAGCCTGCCCAACATAACGACAACCATCAG